GACCCCGGGATCATGACCTGAGCCGAAGGCAGAGGCTTTAACCCACTGAGCCACCCAGGCGCCCCTATAGTACCTTTTTGAAACCTATTTTTTTACTTAACAAATATTTGGTAAAAATATACTATATATACATAGTATACTTGTATATATTATATATATATACATTCTTTCACCTTAGCTGCTAATATTTTATCGTGAAACTCATGTAACATGATATACAAATTATGTAAAAACTTTCAGTAGTTACCAAATTATTGCTTTTATAAACAATACTGCAATGAATTTTTTTATATACCTTTTAATGGATTTGTGCCTAAGGATTTCATGGATATACACTTAGAAGATTTTCTTAGTTACAGAATATGTGCATTGTAAAGTTTACAAGATTGCCAAACTGCTTCTTAAAGTGGTTGTATCAATTTACTGTCCCACCAATAACCTGAGAGTTCTCATTTCTCCACATTCTTTAACAATACATGCTATTTTTAGACTTTTAATTTTTGTCACTCTGACTGGGGTGAAATATATCTTTTTAAATTTTTATTTCCAGGTTAGCTCTGAGTTAGCTATCTGAACAGTCATTAGCTCTTTACTATTAACATCAAATCAAATTTTCACGGCTAGAGGAAAATTTGTATTTAAAATGATCTAATCCATTTATCTCATACAAAAAGGAAAAAGCCAGCTAGCTGGCTTCTAACTTCTAACTGAAAATTTTCTCCCATACCTGGTAATGTAATTACCTATGTTGCTCCCAACCACACACTTACAAGCTAATATTAAAAGGTCAATTTTTCTCATTAAACAAAAGAAGCTTTATAGTCGAGGTAAGATTTCAGTAATCTGAATATTGGGTAAGATATGATAGTTAAGTAGATATGACAATGTCATATCTTCTCCCAAGGGCAGAGCTTGGCTTCAACAGTGTAGGATGACTGGAACTTTGAGCTGCTGTTTAGAACAACAACAACAAAAGGTAAAAGATTAAGAACACGGATAAAGTAAAAAAAATAATACCACAAGAGTAAAGACAGACAATCTGGAGCTGGAAAATTTGACAGCATCACATGCAGCTCAAATACTATATGTAATAGTATTTGAAATTTCAGTAAGGTCTGTAGATTAGTTAACAGTATTGTACTACTGTTATTTTTCTGGTTTCAATAATTGTAAGATATTAATACTTAAAGATGAGCAAGGGGCAAAAGAGAACTCTTTTTACTGGTTTTGTAATTTTTGTAAACCTGAAATTATTTCAGAAAGGTTAAACTTATTTTTTTTTATTTTATTTATTTGACAGGGATCACAAATAGGCAAAGAGGCAGGCAGAGAGAGAGAGAGGGGGAAGCTCCCTGCAGAGCAGAGAGCCTGATGCAGGGCTCCATCCCAGGACCCTGGGATCATGACCTGAGCCATGGCAGAGGCTTTCACTCACTGAGCCACCCAGATGCCCCAAGGTTAAACTTATTTTTATTTTAACTATTATGTAAAGAAATACCAAGTATTGTATATAATAAATATAATATTTAATAAATCTTGAGAATGTAATAAAGTACCAATAGACAGCAATTATCAAATATTTTGAAGAAAAAAGAGAAAAGAAAATTGAAAGTAGTATTATAGTCCTGGGGTAAAACCAAATCTAACAGTTTGTGATTTGTTCAATCCTAAAAAAAAAAAAAAAAAAAAAAACCTGAAGATATTAAATCATAGAAATCAAAATTCATTTCAACAGCACTGCATAAGAAGGCTAGCTACCCTGCATCTAGAAATGCTTTTAAAATGTCTGCTAAAAGAATCAGATGAACAAGATGAATTATTACACACAACAAATTAAATGAGTAAAATTATCTTGTAAATTAAACTGAGATTTTAAAACAATTACCTCTAAAAACATCTGCTTTTATATAAGATAACGAATCTATGACAGATATACTTCACACCACAAAGCACACAGACATTAATAACCCTTCAAAAATTGCTGTAATATAGGATTTGTTACACTTTACTCTAGAAAGATATTTAAATTTCCTCATAAACGTGCAATTACCGATACCAAGATGACTCCAAATTATTGAGCTGTGGTGAAATTTTAGCTTGAGCTAGCAAGGTAAAATCTTTTAGGAGTCTGCAGAAACAGGTATATGCCTCATTCCATGTAAAATGTCAGAGTGTAAAGTACTAAAAATGTCTTTGGACAGCAACCAGTCAGTATCTATCAAAATGTTAAATATGTGTACCCCTTGATGCAATACTATAACAGAAGTACTCAACATATATGCATAGGATTTATTCTGCATAACAGTGAATAAGAAGACCTGAAACAATATAAAATGTCCACCAAGAAAGAACTAGTTAAATACATTATGGTATCTAGTCACTGGAATATTATGCACTTATGAAAGAATAAGATAGACCTACATGTGCTAACATTGAACAATTCCCAATATATTAAGTGGAAGAAACAAAAGCGCAGAAGAGAATACAGTTTATTACCATTTGTGCTTTAAAAAGGTAGATTTACAGTATATTAATAAATATGCTTGCAATAAATAGGGTATGTAAGAATACACAAGAAACTGATAACAATGGCTGTCCCTTTTTGTACTGTTGAATCTTTTCTTTTGGGCATGCATATATGTCTTTCCCAATGTTTAAATAACCAGTTAAGAAACACAATTTTATGAATTATCTGTTCAAAAAAACTGAGATGACTTGTGTTAGTTTCCTTTTTGTCACTGCCAATAACAAATAGGAACCCATTTCAGATTTGTTAGGCTTTGTTAAATTCAATCATCAAGCCTTAGAAGTAGCTTATTTATTAATTAACTCAAAACGTATTAAAGACTTTAAAGATCTGAAACCATAAAACTCCTAAAAGAAAACATAGCAGAAAAAAAAAAAAAAAAAAGGAAAAGAAAGGAAAGAAAACACAGGCAGTAAGTTCTTTAACAATGATTTTGGCAATGATTTTTTTTTGGACTTGACACCAAAAGCAAAAGCAACAAAAGCAAAAATAAACAAGTGAGACTCCATCAAACAAGTCACTGCACAGCAAAGGAAACCATCAACAAAATGAAAGAACTTACTGAATGGGAGAAACTGCTTACAAATAATGCATATAACTATTAATATGTAAAATACATACAGAACTCATACACTTCAACAGCAGAAAAACCAATTTGATTAAAAAATGGACAGAGCATCTGAATATTTTTTCAGTGAAGATATATGGATGGCCAACACACGTGAAGAAATGTTCAACATCACTAATCATCATAAAAATGCAAATCAAAACCACAATGAGACATCACCTCACACTAGCTAGAATGGCTACTACCAAAACGACAAGATACAGCAAAAGATCAAAAATAGAACTACCATAGGATCCAGCAACACTTCTGGGTATCTAGCCAAAGAAACCGAAAACACTAATTCAAAAACACATGCATCCTCATGTTCACTGAAGCATTATTTACAATAGCCAAGACAAAGAAACAACCTTTAAGTCCATGATGAATGAATGGATAAAGAAAATGTGCCCCCACACACACACACTGTAATATGAACTCAACCATAAAAAAAAGAATTAAATGCTGCCATTTGCAACAATATGGATGGATCTCAAGAACACTGTGCCAACTGAAATAAAACAGAGAAAGACATATACCCTATGATCTCACTTATACATGGAATCTTTAAAAAAAAAAAAAAAAAAAGCTCATAGATACAAAAGCTCAAAGATACAAAGAACAGATTGGTTGCCAGAGGTGGGAGGAAGTGAAATGGGTGAAGGGTGTCAAAAGGTGCAAACTTCCACTTATAAAGTAAATGTCATGGGATGTAATGTACAGCATGGTGACTACAATTAATGACACTGTGTTGCTGCATATTTGAAAGTTGCTAAGGCAGTAAATCTTAGAAGTTCTCATCACAAAGGAAAAAAATTCTATTAACTATGTAGATTATGGATGCTAACTAGACTTATTGTGATGATCGTTTTGCAATATATATAAATATCAAATCATGTACACAGAAAACTAACAGATGTCAATGATACCTCAATTTTTTAAAAGTAGCTTATTTATGCATTCTGTAAAGTAACAAATTTTAAATTTGAACTACTTTCTACTAAAGAAAGTATCATGGACAAATCTGTAAAAATATTTTTGATTAAAGTAATCCAAAAAAATAAGGCTAGAGCTTTATTTTATGAGCACAAGCCTTCAGTTTACCACATTACAAAAAATTCTAGAGTCAGTAACAAATAGATCCCTGATATTTGTGAATCAAGGACCTTGACTCATTGTGCATGAATGGGTGAGTCTCTAATATAACCTAAGAGATGGGATGTTAACGACAAAAAAAATCAGTGTCTAATCTACTTGGAAAAAGTTATTTAACACAAGGAAATGGTTCAACAGCTTGGACTATTTTTCCCTCTATTGTTAATGAAACAATTTAGATGAAAAATCATTCTACAAGGTCTTAATTAACATTCAGCTACTGAAGTCCAATTCCTTCTATGTATTATTGGAGGCAATACGTACACTTATACATACATACATACATGGTATCTCAACAAATACGAACTACCAGAAGCCCCTCGGAGATTGTAACCCGTCAACTAAACACCAGATGGCTAGGCAAGCCTCTCTTCAGACAGTTATCACTCGGTGGCTGGTTAATTTCAATGGGTTATTAGACAGGCCTCTCCAGACCAGACCCTTTCCCTAGAGAAGGAGGAGGGGAACAGTCTGTTGTCTTCCCGGTGCTTTGTGCCTTCCAGGCTTGAAAGCATCCTGGTGATGGTGCTGCCATCATTTCCCGTGGGGGTAGCGGGGTCTCTTCTGCAAGTTTTTGTTTACCAGGTACTGAACCTAAATCTCTTTGGCTCTCTCCCTTCCTACCGCGGGCTTCTCCCAGGCAGCCCGACGCTCACCCGGCCTCGCCCCTTCCCCGCACGCTCGCAGGCCCGGGGCCAAGCGGCCAAGACTTACCCGTGGGCGCGCTGTCCAGGATGCGCAGGTCGTAGGCCCCGGAGCAGCGGTAGTTGGCCGCGGTGCCGTTGTCCCACACCACTACCACTTCCTCGGGGCTCTCGAAGCTCCGGACCGTGCCCACATGGCCCTCGCCGCCGTCCTGCTTCCCCCACTTCCAGTCCGGGCCGCGCACTACCCGGGCCCCAACCCCTTCCACCATCACCCGGTTATTCCGGGAGTTACTCATCGGGGCCCGGGCGGTGGGCTCCGCCGCTGCCGCCGCCGCCGCCGGGGGGCCCGTGAGGGAGTTGGGCCCGGGCCGGACTCTCGGCGCCGGCGGGAGCGGCAGGGAGCCCCGGGGAACGTGGGAATAATTCACGGGGGCGGCGACGCGGTCCCCGCCAAGACCACAACCGCTCTCCAGCCGTCGCCGCCGCCGCCGCGCCCCCCGCTCGGACTGGAGGCCGGACCTCAGCGGCTCAGAGGCCGCTGCGGCGGGCGGGCAGAGGGGAGGGGGCCGTGGGCGGGGACTCCCCCGCTTCCTCCGGGCTCCCCGGCCGGGCTACAGCGACGGCCGCCAGGAAACCACGCTCTCCCCCGGCCGGGAGCGCGGGGAGCGCAGGGGGCCGGGGGAAGCTAGCCCAGGGGAGACGGCGAGGGCAGCGGGGAGCAAGCTTAACTGCCGGCCTTTTTTCTCCCCCAGCCCCTCGCTCCGGGGTGGCCGCCCGACTGCCGGCGCCGCCTCCTCCCCCGTGGACAGCGGTGGTACCTCCCGGCGTCCGGCGAGCGCCCGGGCCCACGGGCCCCCTTCTCTCTGCCCCCGCGCACGCCGCCGCGCTCCGCCCCGCCACAGAGTCCCCGCCGGGCGAGAGCGGCTCCACATCCGGATACTGACGCACTCAAGGCTGGAGCAGCACCTTCTCTGACTAGGAGGGGGAGCCTCGGCAACAGTAGGGCGGAAAGGGTTTCGGAGAGTCGCGCGACTGGAGAAAGAAAGGAGAAGAAAATCGATCCCTAAGCGTCTCGCCAGGGCCCGATGAGGGTGCGCATGCGCTCGGCCGGAAAGCGCGGGGGTCGGGGGGGGGGGGGGGCGGGTGACGGCCAGCCTGAGCCTGAGGCGCTGGAGGGGCGGCTCAACGGGGTTGTGGCCTACGGGTGGTGCGGCGCGCTCCATTGGCTGTGAGAAAGGGGCGGAGCAAGAAGTCCGTCCCACCCTCCCGGAGGTGGGGCTGGAGGAAATCTAGATGAATCTGGGGCAGGGCTACACGGGCAGTGAAACCAGGTAGTTGTGATGAGGTCGGTGTTTAAGTTGTAGTGCACCTAGGTGTACAGTGTGAACTGGGGATTCCGTGTTGTTTTAGTCGTCTTTTTTAATGGGATTTGAAGTAGGACAGATTATAGCACAGATTAAGGACGACGTGTATTTTTGTATGTGTAAATTTCAAACATATCAAACTGGAGTGGGTGATTAGGGATGTATTTTTAAGCTGAGTAGAATGGTGTTGAGTGTGAGCTACGTGCAAAGTCCTTTGAAAGCTGTGTTTTGCCTTCCTGCGGAGTCAAGGTGCTAAGTAGACCAAACAGTACACGCTCCTGAGAGAGTTTACTTGTACCTTGCCCATTGATAAGCCCCTCCACCCTAGACGTGATTCAGCCCTTGAATACAAAAGACAACCTTGGAAGGAAAATAAGAGGGCCATAAGAGTGGTTTCTGGCTGCCCTTACTTAAATAACATTATGGTGTGTAAGATTTAAAACCATTGTTTTTCAGCCCAGCATGGAGGCATTGTTGCTTTTCCTGAGAGTCACAGGAGCAGGAATACTCCCACAGAATCAAATAACCAGAAAGACAATAATCCAGTGGAAAGAAAAGAGGTGTAAAATGTGACCAATTATTATGTTGTAAAATAAATAAAATATTCTTAATTTTTCATGTAAATAAATAAATTTAAAATATAAAATATAAAAATAAATTTTTCATGTAAATAAAACTGAGGAAAATACCAATATGGAATCCCCAAGACCAAACAGAGCTAATTGGAGAGACTAAACACGACTTAAAATATTTGTTCAGAATAGGCCAAATTTCTCGTCTGCTTTAAAATATTTTCACCCCAGAAATTTAAAATGTGCTTTTGCCAGAGCTACTCAATTGCAGCTATTCAATTAAGGACACTATTAGTATTTGAGCTCTGCCAGCCCTTACTTCTCTCTCTGGGATCTTTTCTGGTTTCCTTCCTTTCAGGATAACCAATTAGATTAATCAATTGAATTAATAAGTAGAGAAAAAATTCTGGAGGGGCACTTAAGTGACTCATTTACTTAAACTCCCAACTCTTGATCTCAGCTCAGGCCTTGATCTGTGGGTCATGAGTTAAAGCCGTGCACCTGGCTTCACTCTGGGTGTGGAGCCTACTTTTTAAAAAAAGTGTTTTTTTGAAAAAAAATATAGCTACTACCCAAGTTATACTTATGATTGACTTTGTAAATTAAGTTAATTCAAGTAAAGGCCAATTCGTCATAGTGCAACCTTACATTTTACATCAAGCACAGCATATAATAATGGCTTTCCACGTATTTAATTGTATTTAGCTCACCCAGGAGTTTTATACTACGATGTAATCAAATATTTAGAAAGGCTTTTGTTTTTGATACCAAAGATTAATTATAATAACTTTGAATTTTATTTGCCCTTAAAATGAAAAAGGATCCTAAGAAATGATCTAGCCCAGTGGTTTTCTTTTCTCCCTAACCACCCCCACAGACCCTCTGTTCTTATCTGTACATTTGATCAATGAAGGGAGCTAGGTAGTGAAGCAATATAGCAAGGCTAGAGCCTACATGTAGTCTTTCCTTCCTTCTACCTTTGCAGGGCCTCTACAGGAACTAGTCAAAACCTCTGGAGTATAAGTGAGCATAAGTATGAAACCTCAGATTAGCCCAATCCCCATATTTGATAAAAAGAAATTGAGGTCAGGACTGATTAAGTAGTAACTTGTCCAGGATTACAGAGGAAGTTCAGACCTACAGCTTAGACTATATCTATCTAATTCTGTATGTATTTCTTTATGTTAAGTGTTCTCTTATCCATCATTCCCCTTATTAAATATATTGTGACTTTATAACACTATCATGTTGGTAACACTATTTCAAGACTAAATACAGTTTGCCAGTGGTCTCTAAATAATTTCGATTATACACGTTTTCAGTACAAAATCTTTGAACATGTACTTCCAATATTTTTGAACATGTACTTCCAATATATGTACTTATTTGTGCACAAATTATATGTGTACCACCATATAAGTGTAATAAAATATACTCAAAAATCAAAATTATAGACATACCTCAGGGATATTGCAGGTTCAGTTCCAGACCACCACATTAAGTAAGTATTGCAATAAAGTGAGTCAAATTTTTTGGCTTCCCCATGCGTATAAAAGTTATGTTTACACTGCACGGTCAGCTATTAAGTGTGCAATAGCATTATGTCTTAAAAAATGTACATACCCTAATTTAAAGAGTACTTTATTGCTTAAAAAAAAATAAAAGAAAGAAAGAAAGAAAGAAAAGAAAAAAAAGAAAAAGAAAAAAGCTAACCATCATCTGAAATCTGAACTTTCAGGGAGTTGTACTCCTGCTGGTGAAGGTCTTGCCTCTACACTGATAGCTGCTGATTGATCAGGGTAGTGGTTGCTTTAGGTTCAGGTGGCTGTGGCAATTTCTTAAATTAAGGCAACAATGACTCTTCCCTTCCACAAACAATTGCTCTGTAGCATGCAATGCTATTTGATAGCATTTTACCCACAGGGGAAGTTATTTCAAAATTTGAGTCAGCCCTCTCAATGAGCAGTAATATTTTGAAGGGATTTTTTTCCTGAGCAGTAGATCTCAACAGTAGCCTTAGCCTTTCAGTAAACCATATTATAAACAGATGTGATCATCCAGGCCTTGCTGTTCCCTTTATAGAGCACAGGCTGAGTGATTTAGCATAATTCTTCAGAGCCCTAGGATTGTCAGAATGGTCAAGGACATTGGCTTCAACTTCAAGTCTCCAGCTGCAGTAGCCCCTAACAAGACAGCCAGCCTGTCCTTAAAGGCTTTGAAGCTGGGCACTGACTGCTCCTCTCTAGCTGTGAAAAGTTTGAATAGCATCTTCTTCCAAGAGAAGGCTGTTTGTCTAGACTGAAGCACTGTCGTTCAGTGTAGCCGCCTTCATTAATGATCTTATCAAGATCTTCTGGGTTACTTGGGGCAGCTTCCCCATCAGCACTTGCTGCTTCACATTGCACTGTGACATCACGGAGGCGGCTTCTTGCCTTAAACCTCATGAACCACCTTGTGCCAGCTTCAGATTTTTCTTCTGCAGCTTCCTCACACCTTTCAGCCTTCCCAGAACTAAAGAGAGTCAGGGCCTGGTTCTGGATTAGGCTTTGGCTTAAGGGAAGGTTGTGGCTGGTTTGATCTTCTATCCAGACTACTCAGACTTTCTCCATCTCGGCAATAGAGCTATTTCATTTTCTTATCATTTGTGTGTTCACTGATTTAGCACCTTTAATTTCCTTCAAAAACCTTTCCTTTGCATTAACAACTTGGCTAACTGGTGAAAAAAGCCTAGCTTTCAACCTAGCTCAGCTTTCAACATGTCTTCCTCACTAAGGTGAATCATTTCTAGCTTTTGATTTAAAATGAAATGTGTGTGACTCTTCCTTTCACTTAAGCACTTAGAGGTCACTGCAGGGTTATTAATTGGTCCACTTTCATTATTACTGTGTCTCAAGGAATATGGAAGCACCTAGTAGAGGGAGAGAAATGGAGGAAAAGCTGGTCAGTAGAGCAGTCAGATCACACACAACATTTATCACACAAGTTCACCATCTCTGTTGGTAGAGTCTATGTGGTAACATCAATAGTCACTGATCACAGATCACCATAACAAATAAAATAATGATGAAAAAAAATTGAAATATTGTGAGAGGTAATAATTGTGTATCACAAAATGTGATACAGAGACAAGAAGGGAGCAAATGATGTTGGAAAAATGGCACCAATGGATTTGCCCAGCACAAAGGTTGCCACAAACCTTCAATTTGTTTAAAAAAAAAAAAAAAAGGGCAACATCTGTGAGGCATAATAAAGCAAAGTTCACTAAAACAAGGTATGCCTGTAAAAGACGGTGAGCTACAAAATATACAGAAAAAAATTGCATACTTTCTTTCCTTCCTCCAATAGATCATCTTCTGTATCCCTAGATGTTTAAATTGGTATTCTCCAAGGTAGACACACCCCACTTTGGAGACCACTGTGTCATATATGTGTCTGTC